AGAGAACATTTCTTGATGACGGTTCCAATGAGCTTTTTTGCGCTATGTTCCCGTGGCCCAGGCTAGGCTTAACATGCTCAGCGATACTGTTCAGGGGCACTCTCTACAAGTACACTTTGGAGGCAAAAACGCGCTTTTTTGTCCACTGTTTACTGAGTGATAGAAGGGAAATTCCACGTTTGCAAGGAGGCGGAGACAATAAGGCCCCTCATTGGTCGGTGGAGGCGAAGAGGTGTGGCCAAACGCCCTCAAAGTGCCTTTCCACCAATGAGCAGCGTTGCCATCCCCGCCCTTCGCGCCGGCATGAAATACGACCTGCTTTGTGATCGATCAACTCTGCCTTCTTCAACTTTACTCTTTGGTTGGCGTACTTTGGCACAAATTGTAATCGAGGCAACGCCCTTCATTACCGGTTATAAAACTGACTCGAAATCTGACTGGACGAAGAAGTCGTCGCCTTGGTAATCGCGTCAAAGGGACGAAACCCATTCATTAAGGCTGCTCGAATTGGCTGACCTTAGCGGTACATTTAGCATCCTCCCCCGTTAGATTCTGCTCCTAATAACTCCATAAATGCCTTTTCAACGCTGACTTTGTTCTACAAACCGATATTAGGTTACGCCGATTCCCATTACTCCCGGTCCCGGCAACAGTTTCCACACAGTCGATGTCTTTGACAGCAATTGCCGACAATGCGATACAGCAAACGATGTTTTACTGTGTGTGTGTGATGTTTCTGTGCACAGCAAAACTGCCATTGGTTTTCATTTACAGCGCGCCCGGCGCTACGTGACCGTTGCCACACCCCCGCGGGCATTTCAGGTCTCGTCGCATCGCACTCGCTCGTTGTAACGCCATGAACCGGGTACGGGAGTTCGACTCGTTCGCTCGATCGCTTTCGCTTTTTCCTCCCACAACAAAGACTGTAATAGCTTCAAAGATGATTCTGCTTGTCGATCTCTCCTATTCGTATTTTCTCCTTCATTCATGACGATCGAAATATTTGCGGGTTCCTCTCATTTTCTCCGTGTGTCTTTCTATCCTATTCCGTTATCCCGCGCGCAAGGTCAGGGTCCAGCACGTTTTGCTAGATGTCGCGAAGTGGTCCTGTGCGAAAGCATTTTCGGCCGCAGTTGTGGCTCAGTAAGGGTCCTTCTTCCATGAGGTTCCTTTTTTGTCTTCAAAAAGTCCTCGCGGTCGCTTGTTTGCTGTGTGCATCTAAACGCATTCGTTAGACTTCCTCCCTTCGTACCATTGTTAGGACCTACCAGTAGCCAAACCTTTGTCCACTCCACGGTAGAAGAACCCTTCAGAAACGTGCTATGAGCATGATCGTGCCCTTTTCGGCCCTCATTCAACGCCCACGTTGAAGTGCATCGCAAACAAGCGCCACATTTGCGGGGTAGTTGACCAGGAGTAATGGCCATGAATAGCGGATTTCTAGGGAAAACTGCGTTTGTTTAGCGATTTCTAGGAAAAACTGTCTTTCAGTAGCCTTATCGAGTTGTTGCAAGCTCAAATACCGTAACCCAGCCTGGGTAAGTTTGTTGAGCAATAGAAATACACTTCGGAGCAGTGTTGATGGCTCAATTATGCGCAGTGAATAAATAAATAAATAAATGGCATGTGATATAATAATTATAGTAAAATAAATAAACAAATAAATAAATAACGTCTAGTCCCAAGGGCAAGTTCCGATATTTACCTCGCTGTCCTCATCCTTACGCTCGTCTCCTCTGGTTTGGTCAAATGTCGTGAATTTGTTCTCGAAATTCTCTTCTCCTGCTCTTTACCCATAACCTTTACGCTCAGCGCAACGTCTTTCAGAAAAATGGTGCAAATTTGGCAAATGGAACCGTACCCATGTGGCGATCCGAGGTTACCACATCACGTGTTTCCCCACACCAAAATGATCACACCGGACGAGTTATCAAAGAGGACGGGTACATTATACTGGAAGGTACAGAAGTCCACGTTTTACCCAAGTTCCACACAGCTTTTTGATCTCGACGCCTACTTTTCAGGTCTCAAACTAATCGGTTCTGAGTTTTCTGATTTAGCTCGACACACTGGATCAGGTCGCCCTTTCAAAACGGCTTATGGTCATGAAGATGGAGAGAAGTTTCACTAAAGAGGACATCTTTACCCTTGACGCCGAGACTACGGCAAACTTCAGGGATAAGGTGAGCTTTTCAGATTTTCGACTGTGCATAATCAAGAACATGAGGTCTAGTGGGGACGAGTAAGCTGAACGAGCTCGAGCCATAAAGAGGGAAAGAAAGCCCTGAAGGGATACGTTAACCAGATTCTGAGAAAGCAGGCGAACTACGTGACCTTAGGAAAAAGGTCCATCCTCACACTTCTGAGTCTCAGACCTCAAAACCCGAGGTAGTGGCTCCCTACTTCTTCAGGGCCGGTTCTTTGCCTGGTTCAATACTTCTGCCCCTATTGTGGTGGCCTCTTAACTAGCTCAAAACTGGTATGTTTTTATGTGTAAAATCTGCATCCAAATAGACCTTTAAACGTTTTTTATTCAGATCGACGAATTGTTTGAAGAGTCAAATCACCCTGAAGATCAGGCGAGGATGATCATCGACGGCTCAGCGTATTATGATGTAGAAGATAAGGTCAGCTTTTTGCAGTGATTTTTCCCCTTCGCTTAAAATCGCGCTGCAAAACGGAAGGTCTTGAGTCCGTTAGAAACACCGTTCTTCATTCTCTTGACTAGTTCAGAGCTATTCGAAGCTGGCTACGAGTGCTGAGAATGTGGGTAGTGTCTGACCCTGCTTCCGCTTTTTGACATAACAGGAAGGGGCGCTCAAGTGGTTAGAGCTGTGATAAGGTGTCAGTAGGCGGAAATAATGATAAAACTGTAACCGAACGGTGAGCGAGACAATGCGAACGTTGTCAACCGTAACTGATTTCTTGATGTCGGGTGACCTTCAAAGCCAGGTGAGAAGCCAACTGCTAGTGGCAGTCGTTGATAGAGATTGTTTTGCATTCCTGAACATCGCAGAGGAACAGCTCCCAGAAGCGTTTTCTCTCTCCCGAGCAAGGAATGCTGGGACTTATACCAATGTTGATGGCAACCGAAGCATTCTGTCCTGAATTCCGTAGCTACCAACAACTGACACCGTGACCCTTGGGTCCTACAAATTCACTTACCCTCTACCAGGCGGCTAAACTTATCCATGGCCCACAATAACCTAATGAGAGAAAGTGCGCAACGGACATCCAAAAAACCACTGTCTCTCAAAGAAGATGCGGGCTTTCCCAAGCTTCGAAAAGACCAGGTGTTGTATCACGCTGAGGACTTTCAGAACTCCGACAGAGATAGACGATTAACGGAAAGTGAGTTGACCTTGGCGATCTTAGCGCGCTAAAGAGCGACCAACGCCCAGTGATCGGAAATCTAGGACTCTCGCACTCTTCGGCTGCGATCTCTGGTCAGAGAGCCGCTGATTAGAAAGAACAGCATCATTCGAAACCAGTCAGCAAACACAACGTGACTTCGAGAACATTATCAGGGGCACATAGCCGCGGCAAGTAGACCTTGGCCCAAAAAAGTGTTCTCTTAACTCAAACAAGTTACTGTATTCTGAAGGTGCTTTCCAGTCCTGTTTCACTGTTTATGTCCGATTTTATCTCTGTTTGATAGCTATCACTTCTTTTTTGATGGAATCTAAGCATTCCTGCACGTTTTTGACACGCTTGTTGTTGCTCTTTGTCAGGTTTTGTTACTAGGCCAACCTTCAGATAAGATCGTCGCTCCCTCAGTGGGTTCACTCCTCAACACCCGTGGAGTGCCAACTGGTCCTTTGTTACAAGTAAATAGCACCATCCAAAAACAAAAACAACACTAACACGCAAAAAGAATGTGTGTTTTCCGCTCCTGTTGTGGCGTGACTCTGGCGCCAAGTTTGGCTCAGACGGGGGGGGGGGTGAGGTCCAGTCGGAACTTTGGGCGTACAAGATTCAAACCAGATTTGCTCAAGTTTTGGGACTAAGTTTTGAAGAAGAAGAAGAGCGAATCCAAGCTGCGTAAGCAATTTTCATGAGGAATTCGTCCCTTTCCGTTGGGTTTAGTTCTAGTAGCTCCCCGACAGACTGGCCCCTCGGAGGCACATTGCGGGAACTCCTTTTCCGAGGAAGGCGATTTTATCGAAACGATGGTCCGTAGCTTTGCCACTTTTTTGGCCTTTTTCACGGTCCCACCCCCCCCCCCCCCCCGGCTTCATACACTCAGACTCGTGCATTCGCAGTTTTCTTGTAGGAAACGTCACCGATCCCAGAAGTTACCTTCCCCACGGCTGAGGGAGGTTGTAAATATATGTGGAAGATGGAAACGATCCTAAATTTCCTTCATTCCTGTAACAACACCAATTCCGAATGTCGCCGAAAACCACCTTCATTCTTCGCAATCCTACACTTCAACTTCCACATTATACGAAGTTATACGATTTGGTCACCCGTACGACCTCATTGAAATTTGCACCAACCAAGCGGTTGATTCTGCATCAAGGAGTCCTTGGAAAGAATCATGTAGGATTTTTCGGAGAAGAGGGGCTGTATTAGACTCGAATAGGTTACGGAAGCGCGGCTAACAACAAGGTTTTGGTCTCGATATTCACATAACCACTTACTTTCACCTGCTGTCGCGAGAAAGACCCTGACCTAAGCAAAACGAGTTGCATGAAATCACTAGGCAAACAAAAAAGTGACCAATGGCTGTGTACAAACAGCGCGACTTGATGAACAGAATGGTTTGCTTATCCTTCACAATTATGTTTTTTTTTTTCAGAATGGCGACTGGGTGCGTATTCTGTGCGAGTACGGCGACCTTATCCTGATACCGGCCAAAACGTCGTTCCGTTTCACGACAACGCCACAGGTGAATTTATTCGCTATTTCTGGTAGAGCAATATCCCTTCTACTTTGTTTAAAGTTGGGCGGCTCTATTATCAAGGAGACTTTTTAAGAGTGGAAAATACCCCCTGCATAGATTGACACGAAATTTTTAGGTGCATAGCTTCGGGAATAGTAGGAACTTTACAAGCTCTCTATCCTTCCCAAACATGACGCGTCCTTTCAACATTATTTTTGCAAACCCCACGCTTAAGTCAATTTGCGGGCGTTTCGGTCATCTGATATCATATATCTACAGCACTAGGCAAGTGGAATCCTGGTATGACGGTTAGGGGAGGCCATTCCTCCCCTAACCCTCCACAGGATCCATAACGGGTAATTCAAAGTAGTCCCCAGTCCACTCGTAGCAAATTTTTGAGTAGGTGCAAAATGAGCCTTTTGAGAGGTTTCCTAATTCCGCATAATTACCACTAATAAGCAAGCCTACTGAAGAAATGGGCTTTCTGCTCAGTTTGAAAGCCACCAAGAGATACCACTACGGTAGTATTGGAACCAGAGGTGTTCCTAAAGTCTCATGGTATAGCAGCTTGTCCGATTCAAAAAGGACCACGATTGTGACTTGTACCCTAAAATTCAAAGCCTAATTTCAGAATTTCGTCAAGATGCGCAGGTTCTTCAAAGAAAAGGAAGAGTAGACCATCACCCCTGCAGGATGGCCGATCAATCAAATAAAAACGCATGTACATAATTAGTCGTCATTATTCATAAAATTTGTATGTATTCCAACGTTTGAAATGTGTATGTATTTTTATATAATCTCTACTTCTCGCAGTGAACCGTAAATAAAAATTCGCACAGCAGCAGTTTTGATAATCTACAATGAACAGCCCTTTTGGGTCGCGCCACGCATGTGACTTGCTTTCAGGAATAAAGTGTAGCTGAGATGCCATGAGGCTAATACAGAAATACGCGGAACATTTGATGTCCAAGTGCTGGAAGCTTGGATAGCAGGGGCGAGCTTCAACTGATCGATCATGCTGAGCATGACGTTAGGATGCATTTGGTTTCAGTCATGTTTTTGAGTTGCGCCGCGCTCGTGACATCAACTGCAATCATATTTGTTTTTCTAGTAACCTAAACTGTGATGGATTGGGACACTGGTATCGACTTTTAGAGGACTTTGATGCCAAAGAGTCGCACAGCACACCCACATTTACATTGTTCAAGGCGACCGGGCAATTCGCATTACACGTAATGATGGAGCTAAAAGTGAGGTCCAGGGTTCTAGCTTAACTTAAGCCTTGCTCTGAAAAAAAAGCAGTGCGCAAGCGGGGAGCATGTGCACCAGTTGGGATGGTTTGACAAGGCCGAATCGCAAGGCCTTAAGGTGCAGCACTGGCCCCGCCCACCTTTACTGACCACACCCACAAATCAATGCTGGTTCGCTCAGTTGCAAATAGAGAGGTGGCTTCATCTCTGGCCTTGTTGATGGCTTTTTCCATTTCATTACTGTCGCTGAATTTTACGCCTGCACAGCAACCTGCAAACGTAAGACATCAGTTTGATTTTTGGATTTTGCCTTCTAACAATAGCGAGTGTACTTTTGATGCTCTCGATGCTCTCTGATCTTTAAAAGCGGTCATTAGGTGTGCTGTTTCCGGGAAAGTCGTGTTGGACTGAAGTAGTGCGTTTGCAATTGCGACGTGCCTGTTAGTGGGGAGCAAAGCATGCACCCTATTCTCGAATGGTGACATAATCCAAGGCAAACAATCAAAGGGATAGTTGAACCTTGACTTTTAACTGTTCTACTTCCTCGGTTATTGGGGCTATTGGCCACCAGCACGTTCAGTGTAACACGATTTTTTTAGAAACCGCACCCATACTGACCGCTTCTAAAGTAACTACTACACGGTGTCGCAGCCTTACTGAGGGAATTAGGCACATGGTTTTGTTAAATCAGGCCGTATCTCTCCCCTGCAAACGCCTTGGGCCGTTCGTGCCGCCCCAACGAATACGCAAGAGGTGTGAAGTCGCGAGCGTGCTGAGATACAGTGAATCATAAGAACAGAAATTATGGTACGCGATCTTACCATTATTACAAAGCATTTGAGTGAGCGAGATTAGGTTCCTCTAAGCGCTCGCGGTGACATACTGTAGATCGGAAAAAAGTAGCCGACGAACAACAATGTGTCGATGTTGGGCGTCGCCGAAGCGCCGATCAGATTGGAGACTGGATAACTCTCCCGATTTCCGGGCTCGGGCGAACGTGGGCTATGATTTTTGATCGGAAGCAGCCGAGCGTCAAAAGGCGCGTGTGCAGAAATCTACAGCTTCACTCCGCCAGTTTTAACAGTGACTAGCAGCAGGCATGAAGGCACTACTTCCGATAAGGAAACGACATTGTCAGAATTCGATGATCTCAGACAGCTGCTCGAAACATCCCACTAAACTTCAACGAACGAGGCGGCAGACATGTGTGTGTTGTCCAATCGCTTTTTTCCATAGTCAGTGGTGACTTGTTCACTATGCACAGTCCATCGAAAAATGAGTGATCGTTTGAGCAATTCAAAGACATGAGAAGGCTTCTAGTGAAAGAGGAATTTAAAAAAAGAAAAAAAAAAAAAAAAAAAAAAAAAAAAAAAAAAAAAAAAAAAAAAAAAAAAAAAAAAAAAAAAAAAAAAAAAAAAAAAAAAAAAAAAAAAAAAAAAAAAAAAAAAAAAAAAAAAAAAAAAAAAAAAAAAAAAAAAAAAAAAAAAAAAAAAAAAAAAAAAAAAAAAAAAAAAAAAAAAAAAAAAAAAAAAAAAAAAAAAAAAAAAAAAAAAAAAAAAAGGCCAAAAAAGTTCAAATCATTCAGTACCGCAACCACAAAACAAGTGCCCTGCACCCAACTGCAAGTGACTGAACATCTTTCTCTTAGAAGGGCACTATGTTCGAAGCAACGAATACGGCCCCCGTTTAATTGAGTGCATCACAGCAATTGCAATACTGTTGTTGACGCAGGCAGCTAAGCTGCTGCGAAGTTCCTACCTTTTATGGCTGAAACGACCATTACGCACACGACAGCTTACGACGTCATCGCACAAAAAAGTAGAACTTCGAAGAAGGTGGCCCTGAAACTGTCCCATCCTCCTGTTCACCCGATCCTTCACCAACAGACTACCACCGTTTCCGCTCGCTTGCTTTCTTTCCGAAAGAGAGGATGGTCGCGAACGCTACGAAAAGACCTCAGGCTATTCTTGACACCGAATATAGCGCAGTTTTAGGGGAAAAGTATCCATTTACGTGCATATAAGTGCAGGTCGCTTGCTAGCAGATGTGGCAGTAACAGCACTTGAATGAGTGTTACACGATAAGTTCGAAGGTCAAAGGAAGGAATATACCTAGTCGGAACGCGCCCCCTCCCCCCCTTGCCGTCCGACTCGAGCCGCTCCAGCAGAGATAGCGTTAGCGCTGACGAGGTCAGCATCGATGAAACACGCTTAACGCGCAGATCAACGGGCCAGAGGCTCCCACTTCCCAGGTTCTACACTGTCATACATGAGATTCGCTTTTCAACTCATCCAGAAAATAAATAAGAGGGACTGTCTAAGCTCACTAGTACGGAACGAATCAATTATAAGGAAGAAACGTGAAGAGATCAGTTGCTAATTCATGAAGAATGTATGGGTCCAAACAGCTTGATTTCTTCCCTAATGGATAACGCTGGGCAGCTCCTACAGCACTACACTGAGCCAACTATTCAGCATAATACGCATAACATTAATCCTGGTTCACCAGGAATGCAAGAGGTGTAGTGGTGAATGGGTTCCAACGAATTCTGCAGGGCCCAACCGTATCCAACAGAAAAAAGGTCTTGTGGGAAACATTCGAAAGTGTACCCAAAATCAAAAAACTTTTCTAAGGTAACAATCGCCATTCAGGACAAGTGTAACTACCACGAAATAAGTAGCATAAGGTGGCCAAATATTGTGCAGATAAGCTACAGGTCCATGAAGATAGTCTAATTTCTCCCAAACATATTTATTCGCAGATTTTGTCTCGTTCTTGTTGTGATATAGTATCAACTGTTCTAATGAAAAACTGAGAAAAATCGAGTAGCTCTGAACCTTCTGCCAAAACCAAAAAATCTTCGAAACAGGTGGATTCATTCTCCGAATTTGAGCATATAGTGAAACTCTGCTGTGTAGCGTTATGAAAACAGTTTCGCTGTGAGTTTCAAATATTAGGTAGTTGCATTAGAAATGTCGCACAGATTGACTTTCATACCACTGCAGCCTTTGGATCTCTAGAGATACATGTGTATTCATTCGACAAAGGACAATAAAGGGTATAAAAGTGACTACTTTAAGCCTTTTTGGCACCATTTCTTTTTTTTGCACTTGCCTTTTCCTTCGAACCCAACCGAAATTCCTCGGTGTACACGTGAATGTTCTAAGACATCTTGAGGAGCTGAATCAAGCTCGCACCGTTACGGCAGGCTTTTGCAAACAGAAAACGACAAAAGACTTGCATTATACTCTGGAAATGAAAAACATGATTTTCTTGGCTTCATTTACACGCGCGAAAAGCTGCATTTCATGAAAATCACCTGCAAAATAGGCGAAACGGCCGGAGACGCCTGACTCCCCGCCAAAGCCTTCTCACACCTACCATTGAGAGACTGCTTACCCGTGCAACTTGGCACTTGGTAAGGGAGATAACGTTCCTGTTACTACAAAGATTCTAACTTTGGGTGTCCATGCTTGCTCGTACAGCTGCTAAAATTCTTCAAGAACAAGTCGAGTTTCTTGTTAAGAATGGCGAAACCTGACACGATAAGGTGGTATCCGTCCATGTTGTTCTGAGGTGTCGAATGTGCTCATTCTCCACATAATTTTTTGTTATGGACGACAAGCGACATTTATAATGGCAATAACTAACAAACACCCTAATTCCCAACACAGCTTAGGCGCAAAAGAAAGCGTAAATTCGATTTGGATCAGGGCTTATCGCATATTTAAGGAAGCGGTTACGAATAAATCAAAAGGGTTTTAGTGGTTCAGTGTACAACCATCACGAAAAAAACAGAAAATCCATCAAGAAAACACAAAACGGACCCTCTCTTTCGGCCATTGGTTTCAACTCGTGAACAGGTAACAGCTAAGAAAGAGGACGTATGAACGAGTTCACCGCAACGAATTTGATGGAACCATGCCAAAGTACGCTTTAATCGAGATACTCCATTTGCGCCGCTGCTGGTCACGCAGCTCGTCCAAATCAACAAGTAAACTTGGGCGTAAGCGCTGCTGGGAAGGAATGGTGCGGAGGTCCTGCTCAGCATCCACAGCACCTTTCGCCGTGAGTGGGCCACACATTACTTCCTTGGCAGCCAAGTAATTGCTCCGTGTGGCGCAGGTTCTCCCCGATGCACGAAAATTCCTTATCGTAATCGCTTCCTTTTAAAACTTCAGTCCACTGAAGCCGGCTTTGATATAACACAATTCTATTTGAAAGGAAAGTAAGCATCGGCGGATCTTCTGAACGTCTATCACAGAGAATTATCTATTAGGTCGTGAAGAAAGTTCTTGCGCTTTTCGACCTTGATTTTCAAATGCCTGTATCTCGGCTCATTCGAAACCTTTTTGATTGGAGTAAAGACTGTTAGAATCCACAAACCTCTGCCAATAATAGCTGCGTTGAATCAGCCCGGTAGTGC